GGGGGCCGGGGGGGGGGCCGCTGGTAGCTGCAGAATTGTTTGAGCGGCTGCCGTATGGCTGGGCTGGGCTGGAGTCCTGTCCCCATGGCCAAGAGCGGGGAGTAGGGGCTCACAGGCACTTGTCATGTGTGCGGCAGCAAGCCTGTTACACGTGCCGAGTGGGGTAGAGCTAGTGCGGGGTTTGTGAGTTCAGGTCATACGGGACCATTCGGCGGACGCGGTCGCTCGGAGTCCTCAGACCTGGGCAGACTTTCTGAGGGCGGCAGGGCTCTTCAGGAAGCTGCCACTGTGGTCCCGCTGCTCTGTCGTGACTGCAGCACGGTGAGACCAGAGCTGACCTGACTTGCTCCGCCTGCTCTTCCTCCCCACGTACGCAGCCTGGCACCTGACACGTGCAGGTGGCCTCTCTGGGCCACGGTACTGGCTCACTTAATGTCTCAGAACCCTTCAGGGGTCTCTGTCCACAGCGTGACCTGCGAGGCCACTCTTCCATGTGGTTGCTCGCACTCCTCTGCCATTGCCTGCTCTGCACAGATGCAGCACGCTGCTGTCTTCTGTCCCGCTGCCGTGTCCTGTCACTGCCTCCCCTCCCTCACTGACGTCAGCCTGGCCGTCCTGGGAGGCCTCCTCCAGCCCGAGGCTCTCAGTCTCCCATCACGGCCCTGACCTTCCCAGATCTGACGACTCCACCAGACAATCTGTGGGGACACGCCTTGTGCCTCTTACCCATGGCTGTGCCACGTCTCCCAGCTGGTGGCTTAGCGCGGAGTGGGCACCAGGAAGCCCTCGAGTGAGGCATGGACTGAGTGTGCTGCTCTGTGGCAGGAATGGGGAAAGGCCAGCACAGGATGCCCTCCAAGGACGAGCTGGTGCAGAGGTACAACCGGATGAACACCATCCCCCAGGTACTGCCGCCGGCCCTGCTCTGCCCGCGTCGCGTCCACGGTGGGGGAACGGGCTGGGGCGGCTCGGAGGTCATCTACGGGAAGCAGGTGTGCTCTGAGGCAAGCACATCTGGACTCCTAAGTGGCAGTCCTGAGTGCAAAAGCAGGGGCCGAGTTCCAGTGAAGTGTAGAGATGGAAGCTGTGGGCCATCCAGACCGATTACAGCAGAGCAAGATCTGGGGGCGACTGAGCTCAGGGCATCCCTGCCCCACGCGGTCTCGCCAGCCTCCGGGGAAAGCTGAAACGGCTGCCTGGCCCTGCTCTCGCCTCCTTTGCTTCCAGACCCGATCCATTCAGTCACGGTTCCTGCAGAGTCGGAATCTGAACTGCATAGCACTCTGTGAAGGTAGGTAGAACGCTGGCGCCCGCGCGTCTGGGCCCTGCCCTTCGTTTCTGAGGCTGCACTCCAGCGCGTCCTGTGGCAGCATCTTCCCTCCCTGCCTGGTTGCATACCTGGTGCTTTCGCGTCTCAGACTGGCTCCCTTCCTCCCAGTGATTACGTCCAAGGACCTCCAGAAACACGGGAACATCTGGGTGTGCCCGGTGTCCGACCATGTCTGCACACGGTTCTTCTTTGTGTAAGTCTGGGGGACCCGGGACTGCTCGAGGAGTGGGCTGGGTGTGATGGCATGTCACCCAGGCTACCTCGGGGGTGGGGAGTGGATTATCAGGGTCTGTTTGGAGGAAACGAGGGAAACTGGGTCCCTTCCGCCCTGGAGCACGGGGTGGCTGCGTTCAAGTATAGCCGGGCTGTCCTTGTGTCGTCTTCCTCTTGTGCTCACGCTGGCCCCGGCTTTGGCAGATACGAGGATGGCCAGGTGGGCGATGCCAACATCAACACTCAGGACCCCAAGATCCAGAAGGAAATCATGCGTGTGATCGGAACTCAGGTTTACACAAACTGAGGGGCCCAGCCCTCGCACCCGCTCCCCCAGGCTCCACGCCCTCACCAAAGGGCTCCGGAGCAGCAAGAGAGGCCGCCCTGAGGCGTCGAGGGGCAGGGAAGGTGGCAAAGGCAGCGCCACGCTGGAGACGGGCCCCGCGGCTGCCCCACGTTTGGTGGCTGGCTGTCTCCGCCCCAGTTTTCCCAGTTGACTTCACCCTGTTTGTAAATAAACAATAAAACGGAAGGTGCTGTGGACTGGATGTGGTCACTGTGGTCTGACCAGCCTCGGCCCAACCGCTCCCAGGCCCATGCAGCGGCAGGGCGGGGTAGGGAGAGTGGTGCCTCAGGGTTGGGAGTTGGCGCCCTGTGCCTGCGTGTTCCGGGTTCTGCAGCCACACTCAGCCAACCGCGGATCTGGACCGAGAGTGCCAGGATCACGAATTCCAGAAGTTTCCCAAAGCAGCACTGCCGTGGCTGTGCTCCATGCTGTGCTCAGCCCACACAGAGAAGGCAATGTGCAGGTCACCCAGAGAGGAGAGGGCTGGTGGCCTAGAGAGGAGAAGGCACACACGGGGGAGTGTACAGGACATGCAGACCCCGTGCCCTTCACTGATGGAGGCACGGCCTCGGGTGCCAGCTCCCGTGGACACCCAAGGGGAGTGTTCAGGAGCATGGAGTTCAGGCCGAGCCTGCTTATGCTGCATCCCACAGAACCGCAGGGAGAGACGGGTCATGCCGGCGGGGGAGGGGGCAACAGAAGCACCTGCACCTGCAGGCCAGTGGGACAGGGCCGGGCAGCACAGCTTTCACACCCCGTGGGCTGGGGATCTGCAAACCTGCCCCATCCCCTTGCTCTACTCCGGCTCTTCCTGCCAGCTGTCTCTTCAAGCTCAGTGAGGCAGCAGGTGCAGGTCAGTGCGCTCTCCCTTCAAGTCTGCACAGGCACCCTGCGTGCTCTGAACAGAGCCCAGCCACGGTGGTGTGAGGGCAGCTGCCCAGGAACCTGTGTACGTCAGCTCCGTCTCCCTGTTGGAATGCCCACTGCGGACCTCCGCTGGCCCCTCAGGTGCTCAGCCAGCCCCAGCCCTTGGTCCTAAGCACAGCTGGGACAGGCTGGGCCTTGCTGAGCAGTTCACGAAGCTTCAGTGAGGAGATGCGGACTGTGGATGGGACGGAGAGTGCTCCATGAGCCTGCCTTTCGAGGGCTCGTTCATTCTGCTGCTGCTGCTTGGCCTGCAGACCCGCCCTGGACCGGCTCCTTACCTTGCTGTACTTCAGAGGTGCTTTCTTGCCTGAGTCTGCAGGTCCTGCCCTGCTTATGCTCAGAGTGGAACTCCTAAGGCAGTGGCCTGTCCACATGCCCAGTCTTTTTTTTTTTTGGAGAGATTTTTCACTGTAGGGCGC